CCTACCGTTTAATGCTCTAAAAACTCCCAATTATCTGCCGTTTCCAATGGAATAAATTTTAGCAGACTCTAGTCGACCGCAATAACGCCACCCGAGGCAAGGTCGGAATGGTACATCTCTCTAGTGTACACAAGTCGTATCCAATCTAACAAACTCCGAAGCGGTAAGAAACACTCACCATTTTTTGGCCATGCTTCAAAGCGAGTTAGCCTGGCGGTTGACTGAAACAAGGAAGAGACGCAAACCCAGCCCCACGTTGGGCGCCATTATGTCGTATCGGATGAATGGTGGCCATTATTGCTGTCAACAAAGAGTCCGTTATGCTGCATCGTGTTAGAGGCTTTTAATAAAATCACGAGGTTACAGCATAAATGACAGACCCGCGGAGTCCGGAGAACAGCATCCTAGATTGCCATGGCCGTTCTGCCTTCTCATCGTTTAACCCCTATTTATAAACAAAGCAAAAAGATGGGTGGCTCCCTCTTCTGGCCAATCACCAGTCTCCCCTGGGGCGTCACCCTCCAAACGCTACATTTGAACTAAGATCATAAAACAACATTCTTTGTTCCTCCAAAACATTTAACAAAGACATAATCTTCAGATACGATAAAGTCTCAAGGTTTTGCTCGCCTGAGGTAGAGTATCTTATGATAAGCTGTAGACCACACTATTTACCAAGAGAGTTTTCATCTATATTTTTCATAGCTGTCTATTTACCACCACAAACCAATGCTGGCATTAAGATTGCACTGAATGAGTTGTACAAGGCCATTAATCAACAGGAAAACGCTCATCCAGATGCAGCGCTCCTAGTGGCCGGGGACTTTAATGCAGGGAAACTTAAATCTGTTCTACCTAATTTCTACCAGCATGTTAAATGTGCAACCAGAGGGAAAAAAACTCTAGACCACCTTTACTCCACACACAGAGACGCATACAAAGCTCTCCCTCGCCCTCCATTTGGCAAATCTGACCATAACTCTATCCTCCTGATTCCTGCTTATAAGCAAAAACTAAAGCAGGAAGCACCAGTGACTCGGTTAATAAAAAAGTGGTCAGATGATGCAGGTGCTAAGCTACAGGACTGTTTTGCTAGCACAGACTGGAAAATGTTCCGGGATTCTTCCGATAGCATTGAGGAGTACACCACATCAGTCACTGGCTTCATCAATAAGTGCATCGATGATGTCGTCCCCACAGTGACTGTACGTACATACCCCAACCAGAAGCCATGGATTACAGGCAACATCCGCACTGAGCTAAAGGGTAGAGCTGCCGCTTTCAAGGAACGGGACTCTAACCCGGACGCTTATAAGAAATCCCGCTATGCCCTCCGACGAACCATCAAACAGGCAAAGAGTCAATACAGGGCTAAGATTGAATCGTACTACACTGGCTCTGACGCTCGTCGGATGTGGCAGGGCTTGAAGACTATTACAGACTACAAAGGGAAGCACAGCCGCGAGCTGCCCAGTGACACAAGCCTACCAGACGAGCTAAACCACTTCTATGCTCGCTTCGAGGCAAGCAACACTGAAGCATGCATGAGAGCACCAGCTGTTCCGGATGACTATGTGATCACGCTCTCCGTAGCCGATGTGAGTAAGACTTTTAAGCAGGTCAACATTCACAAGGCCGCAGGGCCAGACGGATTACCAGGACGTGTACTCCGAGCATGTGCTGACCAACTGGCAAGTGTCTTCACTGACATTTTCAACATGTCCCTGACTGAGTCTGTAATACCAACATGTTTCAAGCAGACCACCATAGTCCCCGTGCCCAAGGATTCTAAGATAACCTGCCTAAATGACTACCGACCCGTAGCACTGACGTCTGTAGCCATGAAGTGCTTTGAAAGGCTGGTCATGGCTCATATCAACAGCATTATCCCAGAAACCCTAGACCCACTCCAATTTGCATACAGCCCCAAAAGATCCACAGATGATGCAATCTCTATTGCACTCCACACTGCCCTTTCCCACCTGGATAAGAGGAAGACCTACGTGAGAATGCTATTCATTGACTACAGCTCAGCATTCAACACCATAGTGCCCTCTAAGCTCATCACTAAGCTAAGGATCCTGGGACTAAACACCTCCCTCTGCAACTGGATCCTGGACTTCCTGACGGGCCGCCCCCAGGTGGTAAGGGTAGGTTACAACACATCTGCCACACTGATCCTCAACACGGGGGCCCCTCAGGGGTGCATGCTCAGTCCCCTCCTGTACTCTCTGTTCACCCATGACTGCATGGCCAGGCACGACTCCAACACCATCATTAAGTTTGCCGACGACACAACAGTGGTAGGCCTGATCACCGACAACGATGAGACAGCCTATAGGGAGGAGGTCAGAGACCTGGCCGTGTGGTGCCAGGACAACAACCTCTCCCTCAACGTGACCAAGACAAAGGAGATGATTGTGGACTACAGGAAAAAAAAGAGGACTGAGCACGCCCCCATTCTCATCGACGGGGCTGTAGTGGAACAGGTTGAGAGCTTCAAGTTCCTTGGTGTCCACATCACCAACGAACTATCATGGTCCAAACACACCAAGACAGTCGTGAAGAGGGCACGACAAAGCCCATACCCCCTCAGGAGACTGAAAAGATTTGGCATGGGTCCTCAGATCCTCAAAAAATTCTACAGCTGCACCATCGAGAGCATCCAGACTGGTTGCATCACCGCCTGGTATGGCAACTGCTTGGCCTCCGACCGCAAGGCACTACAGAGGGTAGTGCGTACGGCCCAGTACATCACTGGGGCCAATCTTCCTGCCATCCAGGACCTCTATACCAGGCGGTGTCAGAGGAAGGCCCTCAAAATTGTCAAAGACTCCAGCCACCCTAGTCATAGACTGTTCTCCCTGCTACCGCACGGCAAGCGGTACCGGAGTGCCAAGTCTAGGTCCAAAAGACTTCTCAACAGCTTCTACCCCCCAAGCCATAAGACTCCTGAACAGCTAATCATGGCTACCCGGACTATTTGCACTGCCCCCCCCCCCACCCCATCCTTTTTACGCTGCTGCTACTCTGTTAATTATTTATGCATAGTCACTTTAACTCTACCCACATGTACATATTACTTCAACTATCTCAACTAGCCGGTGCCCCCGCACATTGACTCTGCACCGGTACCCCCCTGTATATATAGCCTCCCTACTGTTATTATATTTTACTTCTGCTCTTTTTTTCTCAACACTTTTTTTGTTGTTTTATTTTTACTTTTTTTGTTAAAAATAAATGCACTGTTGGTTAAGGGCTGTAAGTAAGCATTTCACTGTAATGTCTGCACCTGTTGTATTCGGCGCATGTGACCAATAAAATTTGATTTGAAACGGGTTATTCATTTACCTCTTATCAATAGCTCTTATCAATTTATAAATTACAGTGCATGGAGAACGCTGCTATTTCTATCGAAAAAAAAGAAAGATGCTTTTTCCACTTGGAACCGGCAGGTTCGCTCGACCATATCATGGTTTCCTCGCGCATAACGGTAGGGGAATTAAATCAAGGTCAGAATACAGCAACACCTTCATTTCTTAGATCTCCACCCAGAACAAGTAGCGGGTGAATAGCATGCTGTTCTCATGCATAAGGTCAGAATACGCAGAGAGAAGTCCATAAAAGGGAAATACATTCTGCTTAACTCGGGTCAGAATCGGCTGCCAACCGAACACACAAAAACTACTACACACACACACCATTCCATCCGTACAACCAGGGTTGTGAACCGCAGGATATATAGCAGTACTATATTGTCAGGCCTCCATGTTATTCAATCCATTCATTAACCCATACGTTAAAGGGAGGTGAAATAACACTCATCTACCTCTGATGTCAAACATTTTCTTTATTGAATGAATGGACTGCTGCTATTGAAAAAAAAAAAAAGAGGAAATAATCATTCAAACTGAAAGAAATTGGATAAATAAAAGCCAACATAGTGATTCTGATTTACCATAGAATATACATTAAACACTGTAGCATAATATTATCTAAACTCTATAGTGTGGTCTCCCCAGTCAGCTTCACTCAATACATTCGATAATTGTTAGAGGACTACTGGTAGGAACTCATTCCCCTGGACCTCTACAGGCTGACTGATCGACACCCAGGGACTGCTTTATTCTCTTACTATAGATTAATCATGTGGGATAACAAGGTCAACATAATCATTTTATACCATTAAAACAGATAAAGTCACTAAACCTCATAATGTGAGCATCCATCAACACTAAATGGGTCCTATAGAAGGACCTAGTTACAGCTGAAATGTAAGAGGATATAAATGAACACGCCACCATTTCATGGACATTGAGTATGAAACAGACTTGGGGCTCCATTCAATCCGCATGATTTAAATTTAAAGGCAATGTTCCTGTGTTAGCGGAGACCGCAGTCACGGTGAACACTGCATTTGTCGGCTCAATTAACGTAATTCCTATCGCTTCATCAATACAGCTTGAATAGAGCCCCTGGGTGCATTGATTTGAATTCATCGTTTTGTTGTAGCTTTTTAAAATGTCTATATGTAACCTACCTGTAACACCACTGTAATGATGCATCATATTGTGGCCTGGCTGAGAGGCCGTCTGATCTATAATTACATAGATCTATACGACCTCAAACTGATTCTATAGATCCTATGAAAAGGCATTTCACTGTACTTGAAAACTATGACCTCATGGTTCATTCTATACACCCCATTCATATAAAAAGCCTACCAGAGATAAATGATCTAAAACAGGAAAATATAGCAGCTTCTCTAACAGAACCATTACAGCTCTATGTACAGATATACTACGTTATTTTCCACACAAATGTACCATGAGTAAAAATATAATTTAAAAAAAGCCTGAAACCATCAACATGAAAGGCTTACTAGTGAGTACATTTTATTGTCCAGTGTTGTATGTATGTTTGCAGTTTGATATGAGCTGTTGGTCAGAGTGCTGGGGCTAGGCCTGGGTAACGGGCAGATAGGGCCCCATGTTGAGGGCTCAGGGCTGGGCAGACACTGCACTGCTCTCCTCCCCTCCTGGACCAGACATCTGCATGAAGAGCTCCCTCAGTTCGCTGACCTCATCTTCCTGCGGCTGGGCAACGCCGCGCTGCTCACGCTCCTCGATGAAGTCCCACAGACGGACAGAGTTCAGGAACTACAAGACAACACCACAGGAGAATTCACGGTAAGTACTTTAATTTGACTTTACATTTAGCTTTACATTTACATGTTTTAGTCATTTAGCAGAAGCTCTTATCCAGAGCGACTTACAGGAGCAATTAGGGTTAAGTACCTTGCTGAAGGGCACATCGACAGATTTTTCACCTAGTCGGCTCAGGGATTAGAACCAGCAACCTTTCGGTTACTGGCACAATGCTCTTACCCACTAAGCTACCTGCCGCCCCCGTTAGCTTCATGTTAGTGTTGTATAAAGGTTCAATATTAGCATCATTGTAGTGTTGTATAGAGGTTCAATATTAGCATCATGGTAGTGTTGTATAAAGGTTCAATATTAGCATCATGGTAGTGTTGTATAGAGGTTCAATATTAGCATCATTGTAGTGTTGTATAGAGGTTCAATATTAGCATCATTGTAGTGTTGTATAGAGGTTCAATATTAGCATCATGGTAGTGTTGTATAAAGGTTCAATAGGTTCAATATTAGCATCATTGTAGTGTTGTGTTGTATAGAGGTTCAATATTAGCATCATTGTAGTGTTGTATAGAGGTTCAATATTAGCATCATTGTAGTGTTGTATAGAGGTTCAATATTAGCATCATTGTAGTGTTGTATAGAGGTTCAATATTAGCATCATTGTAGTGTTGTATAGAGGTTCAATATTAGCATCATTGTAGTGTTGTATAGAGGTTCAATATTAGCATCATTGTAGTGTTGTATAGAGGTTCAATATTAGCATCATGGTAGTGTTGTATAGAGGTTCAATATTAGCATCATGGTAGTGTTGTATAGAGGTTCAATAGGTTCAATATTAGCATCATGGTAGTGTTGTATAGAGGTTCAATAGGTTCAATATTAGCATCATGGTAATGTTGTATAGAGGTTCAATATTAGCATAATGGTAGTGTTGTAAAGAGGTTCAATATTAGCATCATTGTAGTGTTGTATAGAGGTTCAATATTAGCATCATTGTAGTGTTGTATAGAGGTTCAATATTAGCATCATGGTAGTGTTGTATAGAGGTTCAATAGGTTCAATATTAGCATCATGGTAATGTTGTATAGAGGTTCAATATTAGCATCATGGTAGTGTTGTATAGAGGTTCAATATTAGCATCATGGTAGTGTTGTATAGAGGTTCAATATTAGCATCATTGTAGTGTTGTATAGAGGTTCAATATTAGCATCATGGTAATGTTGTATAGAGGTTCAATATTAGCATCATTGTAGTGTTGTATAGAGGTTCAATATTAGCATCATGGTAGTGTTGTATAGAGGTTCAATATTAGCATCATGGTAGTGTTGTATAGAGGTTCAATATTAGCATCATTGTAGTGTTGTATAGAGGTTCAATATTAGCATCATGGTAGTGTTGTATAGAGGTTCAATATTAGCATCATGGTAGTGTTGATAGAGGTCCAATATAGCATCATGGTAGTGTTGTATATAGGTTCAATATTAGCATCATTGTAGTGTTGTATAGAGGTTCAATAATAGCATCATTGTAGTGTTGTATAGAGGTTCAATATTAGCATCATGGTAGTGTTGTATAGAGGTCCAATATTAGCATCATGGTAGTGTTGTATAGAGGTTCAATATTAGCATCATTGTAGTGTTGTATAGAGGTTCAATATTAGCATCATTGTAGTGTTGTATAGAGGTTCAATATTAGCATCATGGTAGTGTTGTATAGAGGTTCAATATTAGCATCATGGTAGTGTTGTATAGAGGTCCAATATTAGCATCATGGTAGTGTTGTATAGAGGTTCAATATTAGCATCATTGTAGTGTTGTATAGAGGTTCAATATTAGCATCATTGTAGTGTTGTATAGAGGTTCAATATTAGCATCATGGTAGTGTTGTATAGAGGTCCAATATTAGCATCATGGTAATGTTGTATAGAGGTTCAATATTAGCATCATTGTAGTGTTGTATAGAGGTTCAATATTAGCATCATGGTAGTGTTGTATAGAGGTTCAATATTAGCATCATGGTAGTGTTGTATAGAGGTTCAATATTAGCATCATTGTAGTGTTGTATAGAGGTTCATATTAGCATCATTGTAGTGTTGTATAGAGGTTCAATATTAGCATCATGGTAGTGTTGTATAGAGGTTCAATATTAGCATCATGGTAGTGTTGTATAGAGGTTCAATATTAGCATCATGGTAGTGTTGTATAGAGGTTCAATAGGTTCAATATTAGCATCATGTTAGTGTTGTATAGAGGTTCAATATTAGCATCATGGTAGTGTTGTATAGAGGTTCAATATTAGCATCATGTTAGTGTTGTATAGAGGTTCAATATTAGCATCATTGTAGTGTTGTATAGAGGTTCAATAGGTTCAATATTAGCATCATGGTAGTGTTGTATAGAGGTTCAATATTAGCATCATTGTAGTGTTGTATAGAGGTCCAATATTAGCATCATGGTAGTGTTGTATAGAGGTTCAATATTAGCATCATGGTAGTGTTGTATAGAGGTTCAATATTAGCATCATGGTAGTGTTGTATAGAGGTTCAATATTAGCATCATGGTAGTGTTGTATAGAGGTTCAATATTAGCATCATGGTAGTGTTGTATAGAGGTTCAATATTAGCATCATGGTAGTGTTGTATAGAGGTTCAATATTAGCATCATGGTAGTGTTGTATAGAGGTTCAATAGCATCATTGTAGTGTTGTATAGAGGTTCAATATTAGCATCATGGTAGTGTTGTATAGAGGTCCAATATTAGCATCATGGTAGTGTTGTATAGAGGTTCAATATTAGCATCATGGTAGTGTTGTATAGAGGTTCAATATTAGCATCATGGTAGTGTTGTATAGAGGTTCAATATTAGCATCATGGTAGTGTTGTATAGAGGTCCAATATTAGCATCATGGTAGTGTTGTATAGAGGTTCAATATTAGCATCATGGTAGTGTTGTATAGAGGTTCAATATTAGCATCATGGTAGTGTTGTATAGAGGTTCAATATTAGCATCATGGTAGTGTTGTATAGAGGTTCAATATTAGCATCATTGTAGTGTTGTATAGAGGTTCAATATTAGCATCATGGTAGTGTTGTATAGAGGTTCAATAGGTTCAATATTAGCATCATGTTAGTGTTGTATAGAGGTTCAATATTAGCATCATGGTAGTGTTGTAGAGAGGTTCAATATTAGCATCATGTTAGTGTTGTATAGAGGTTCAATATTAGCATCATTGTAGTGTTGTATAGAGGTTCAATAGGTTCAATATTAGCATAATGGTAGTGTTGTATAGAGGTTCAATATTAGCATCATGGTAGTGTTGTATAGAGGTTCAATAGGTTCAATATTAGCATCATGGTAGTGTTGTATAGAGGTTCAATATTAGCATCATGGTAGTGTTGTATAGAGGTTCAATATTAGCATCATGGTAGTGTTGTAGAGAGGTTCAATATTAGCATCATGTTAGTGTTGTATAGAGGTTCAATATTAGCATCATGGTAGTGTTGTATAGAGGTTCAATAGGTTCAATATTAGCATCATGGTAGTGTTGTATAGAGGTTCAATATTAGCATCATTGTAGTGTTGTATAGAGGTTCAATATTAGCATCATGGTAGTGTTGTATAGAGGTTCATAGGTTCAATATTAGCATCATGGTAGTGTTGTATGAGGTTCAATATTAGCATCATGGTAGTGTTGTATAGAGGTTCAATATTAGCATCATGGTAGTGTTGTATAGAGGTTCAATATTAGCATCATGGTAGTGTTGTATAGAGGTTCAATATTAGCATCATGGTAGTGTTGTATAGAGTTCAATAGTTCATATTAGCATCATGGTAGTGTTGTATAGAGGTTCAATATTAGCATCATTGTAGTGTTGTATAGAGGTTCAATATTAGCATCATTGTAGTGTTGTATAAAGGTTCAATATTAGCATCATGGTAGTGTTGTATAGAGGTTCAATATTAGCATCATTGTAGTGTTGTATAGAGGTTCAATATTAGCATCATTGTAGTGTTGTATAGAGGTTCAATATTAGCATCATGGTAGTGTTGTATAGAGGTTCAATATTAGCATCATTGTAGTGTTGTATAGAGGTTCAATATTAGCATCATTGTAGTGTTGTATAGAGGTTCAATATTAGCATCATTGTAGTGTTGTATAGAGGTTCAATATTAGCACCATGGTAGTGTTGTATAGAGGTTCAATATTAGCATCATTGTAGTGTTGTATAGAGGTTCAATATTAGCATCATGGTAGTGTTGTATAGAGGTTCAATAGGTTCAATATTAGCATCATGTTAGTGTTGTATAGAGGTTCAATATTAGCATCATGGTAGTGTTGTATAGAGGTTCAATATTAGCATCATGTTAGTGTTGTATAGAGGTTCAATATTAGCATCATGGTAGTGTTGTATAGAGGTTCAATAGGTTCAATATTAGCATCATGGTAGTGTTGTATAGAGGTTCAATATTAGCATCATGGTAGTGTTGTATAGAGGTTCAATATTAGCATCATGGTAGTGTTGTATAGAGGTTCAATAGGTTCAATATTAGCATCATGGTAGTGTTGTATAGAGGTTCAATATTAGCATCATTGTAGTGTTGTATAGCGGTTCAATATTAGCATCATGGTAGTGTTGTATAGAGGTTCAATATTAGCATCATTGTAGTGTTGTATAGAGGTTCAATATTAGCATCATTGTAGTGTTGTATAGAGGTTCAATATTAGCATCATGGTAGTGTTGTATAGAGGTTCAATATTAGCATCATTGTAGTGTTGTATAGAGGTTCAATATTAGCATCATTGTAGTGTTGTATAGAGGTTCAATATTAGCATCATTGTAGTGTTGTATAGAGGTTCAATATTAGCATCATGGTAGTGTTGTATAGAGGTTCAATATTAGCATCATGGTAGTGTTGTATAGAGGTTCAATATTAGCATCATGGTAATGTTGTATAGAGGTTCAATAGGTTCAATATTAGCATCATGGTAATGTTGTATAGAGGTTCAATATTAGCATCATGGTAGTCTATTCCATGTTTTTTTGTTGTTGTTTTAAAGTCGCGATCTACCTCAACCAACCAAGTTTTTAGTGCCATTAAATCGGATAATTAATAATGAGGCTAATAGCAGTACTTTGGCTATTAGTTTTAATCCGTTTCTTTTCTGAAACGCACCAAACAAGCTGTCGACCTAACCCTCAATGGATACAGCGAGCCGCAACTGCAGATATCATACACAAGAGATGTCCTGCTTAATCTCTGACCCTTTGCTGCAAGTCTATACTGTAATGGAATACCACCATTAAGTTCCCAAGGAAGCGTGGCAGTATAGAAGCCCTTCAGAACCTCTTCCATCTATTATGATTGGTATAATACAGCTAGGACCGCTATCTCTTGTCCAGGAAGACTGCTTAACAGGCAGGTTGAAGACTGCTTGACAGACAGGTTGAAGACTGCTTAACAGTCTCCTATTTGCCATAGGTCCAATCTAAGCCTACTAGAAAGTGTGTGCCCTCAGGCCTGGAGGGAAGCAAAAGTCATTCCGTTACCCAACAATAGCAAAGCCCCCTTAACTGGCTCAAATAGCCGACCAATCAGCCTTTTATTTATTTTTTATTTAACTAGGCAAGTCAGTTAAGAACAAATTCTTATTTACAATGACGGCCTACCAAAAGGCAAAAGGCCTCCTGCGGGGACGGGGGCTGGAAAACAGAAACAATATAGGACAGAACACATCATGACGAGAGACACTTAACAAGGAATACATTAACAACTAAAAGCATTATATTTGGGACAAATCATTCATCACAACAAGAAGGTAGAGACAACAACACATCACACCAAGCAGCCACAACTGTCAGTCAGAGTGTCCATGATTGAGTCTTTGAATGAAGAGATGGAGATAAAACTGTCCAGTTTGAGTGCTTTTTGCAGCTCGTTCCAGCCTGTTACCAACCCTTAGTAAACTTTTGGAAAAAATAGTGTTTGATCAGATACAATGCCATGTTACAGTAAACAAATAGACAAATCAACAAGCACAGCACAAATGACTGGTGATTGGCTTACAGAAATTGATGATAAAAAGATTGTGGGGGCTGTTTTGTTAGACTTCAATGTGGCTTTTGACATTATTGATCATAGTCTGCTGCTGGAAAAACGTATGTGTTATGGCTTTACTCCACCTGCTATATTGTGGATACAGAGTTACCTGTCTAACAGAACACAGAGGGTGTTCTTTAATGGAAGCCTCTCCAACAAAATCCAGGTAGAATCAGGAATTTGGCGGCTGGTAGCTTAGTGGTTAAGAGCGTTATGCCAGTAACCGAAAGGTAACTGGTTCTAATCCCCGAGCCGACTAGGTGAAAAATCTGTCGATGTGCCCTTGAGCAAGGCACTTAACCCTAATTGCTCCTGTAAGTCGCTCTGGATAAGAGCGTCTGCTAAAATGTAATTCCCCATGGCAGCTGTCTAGGCCCATTACTTTATTCAATCTTTACTAATTACATGCCACTGGCTTTGAGTAAAGCCAGATTGTCTACAGTTGAAGTCGGAAGTTTACATACACTTAGGTTGGAGTCATTAAAACTCCTTTTTCAACTACTCCACAAATTTCTTGTTAACAAACTATAGTTTTGGCAAGTCAGTTAGGACATCTACTTTGTGCATGACACAAGTAATTTTTCCAACAATTGTTTACAGACAGATTATTTCACTTTCCAGTGGGTTTTTACATACACTAAGTTGACTGTGCCTTTAAACAGCTTAGAAAATTCCAGAAAAATGATGTCATGGCTTTAGAAGCTTCTGATAGGCTAATTGACATCATTTGAGACAATTGATGAGTGAACTCATCCTTGAATGCTAGCTATGTCCCTTCCGTCTTCAAGAGAGCGAGAGTTGCACCCCTCCTCAAAAAACCTACACTCGATCCCTAAAACTACAGACCAGTATCCCTTCTTTCTTTTCTCTCCAAAACTCTTGAGTGTGCCGTCTTTAGCCAACTCTCTTGCTATCTCTCTCAGAATGACCTTCTTGATCCAAACCAGTCAGGTTTCAAGACTGGTCATTCAACTGAGACTGCTCTTCTCTGTGTCACGGAGGCTCTCCGCACTGCTAAAGCTAACTCTCTCTCCTCTGCTCTTATCCTTCTAGACCTGTCTGCAGCCTTTGATACTGTGAACCATCAGATCCTCCTCTCCACCCTCTCCGAGTTGGGCATCTCCAGGGCGGCTCACTCTTGGATTGCGTCCTACCTGACAGGTCGCTCCTACCAAGTGGCGTGGCGAGAATCTGTCTCCGCACCACGTGCTCTCACCACTGGTGTCCCCCAGGGCTCAGTTCTAGGCCCTCTCCTATTCTCTCTATACACCAAGTCACTTGGCTCCGTCATATCCTCACATGGCCTCTCCTATCATTGCTACGCAGACGACCCACAACTAATCTTCTCCTTTCCCCCTTCTGATAACCAGGTGGCGAATCGCATCTCTGCATGTCTGGCAGACATATCAGTGTGGATGACGGATCACCACCTCAAGCTGAACCTCGGCAAGACGGAGCTGCTCTTCCTCCCGGGGAAGGACTGCCCGCTCCATGATCTCGCCATCACGGTTGACAACTCCGTTGTGTCCTCCTCCCAGAGTAAAAAAAGCCTTGGCGTGACCCTGGACAACACCCTGTCGTCCTCTGCTAACATCAAGGCGGTGACCCGATCCTGTAGGTTCATGCTCTACAACATTCGGAGAGTACGACCCTGCCTTACACAGGAAGCGGCACAGGTCCTAATCCAGGCACTTGTCATCTCCCGTCTGGATTACTGCAACTCGCTGTTGGCTGGGCTCCCTGCCTGTGCCATTAAACCACTACAACTCATCCAGAATGCCGCAGCCCGTCTGGTGTTCAACCTTCCCAAGTTCTCTCACGTCACCCCGCTCCTCCGCACACTCCACTGGCTTCCAGTTGAAGCTCGCATCCGCTACAAGACCATGGTGCTTGCCTACGGAGCAGTGAGGGGAACGGCACCTCCATACCTTCAGGCTCTGATCAGTCCCTACACCCAAACGAGGGCATTGTGTTCATCCACCTCTGGCCTGCTGGCCCCCCTACCTCTGCAGAAGCACAGTTCCCGCTCAGCCCAGTCAAAACTGTTCGCTGCTCTGGCACCCCAATGGTGGAACAAGCTCCCTCACGACGCCAGGACGGCGGAGTCACTCACCACCTTCCGGAGACACTTGAAACCCCACCTCTTTAAGGAATACCTGGGATAGGATAAAGTAATCCTTCTACCCCCCCCCCCACAAAAAAAAATAAAATAAAAAAGTAAAGTGGTTATCCCACTGGCTATAAGGTGAATGCACCAATTTGTAAGTCGCTCTGGATAAGAGCGTCTGCTAAATGACGTAAATGTAATTGGAGGTGTACCTGTGGATGTATTTCAAGGCCAAACTCAGTGCCTCTTCGCTTGACATCATGGGAAAATCAAAAGAAATCAGCAAAAATAATTGTAGACCTCCACAAGTCCGGTTCATCCTTGGGAGCAATTTCCAAATACCTGAAGGTACCACGTTCATCTGTACAAACAATAGTACGCAAGTATAAACACAATGGGACCACGCAGCCGTCATACTGCTCAGGAAGGAGATGCGTTCTGTCTCCTAGAGATGAACGTACTTTGGTGCGAAAAGTGCAAATCAATCCCAGAACAACAGCAAAGGACCTTGTGAAGATGCTGGAGGAAACAGGTACAAAAGTATCTATATCCACAGTAAAACACTCTTTGAGAGAGGTAGTTAGCAAACCAGGCCAAAGACCCCTCAGAGACACCAATACTCCTTAGCCGGCCCACAAGGATGGAATGGTCTACCGTATCAAAAGCTTTGGCAAAGTCAATAAAAATAGCAGCACAACATTGCTTAGAATCAAGGACAATGGTGACATCATTTAGGACCTTTAAGGTTGCAGTGACACATCCATAACCTGAGCGGAAACCAGATTGCATACCAGAGAGAATACTATAGACATCAAGAAAGCACTCAGCTGAATATTGACACGTTTTTCCAACACTTTTGATAAACAGTGCAAAATAGAAATTGGCCTATAACAGTTAGGATCAGCTTGATCTCCCCCTTTAAATAAAGGACGCACCGTGGCTGCCTTCCAAGCAATTACTGGCTTTAATCAAAGCCAGTGGCATGTCATTAGTAAAGATTGAAAAAAAGTAAGGGGCCTAGACAGCTGCCCTGGGGAATTCCTGATTCTACCTGGATTTTGTTGGAGAGGCTTCCATTAAAGAACACCCTCTGTGTTCTGTTAGACAGTTAACTCTTCATCCACAATACAGCAGGGGGTGTAAAGCCATAACACATACGTTTTTCCAGCAGCAGAATATGATCGATAATATCAAAAGCCGCACTGAAGTCTAACGAAACAGCCCCCCCAATCTTTTTATCATCAATTTCTCTCAGCCAATCATCCGTCATTTGTGTAAGTGCCGGTCTTGTTGAGTAGTCATAGGCTATATCAGGTAAAGTGCATTCAGAAAGTATTCAGACCCCTGACTTTTTCCACATTTTGTTACGTTACAACCTTATTCTAAAATAGATTCAATCGTTTTTTCCCCTCATCAATCTACACACAATACCTCAGAATGACAAAACGAAAACAGGTTTTCTGAAATGTTTGCAAATTTAAAAATAAAAACAGAAATACCATTTTTAGATAAGTATTCAGACCCTTTACTATGAGACTCGAAATTGAGCTCTGGTGCATCTTGTTTCCATTGATCATCCTTGAGATGTTTCTACAACTTGATTGGAGTCCACCTGTGGTAAATTCAATTGATTGGACATGCTTTAGAAAGGCACACACCTGTTTATATAAGGTCCCACAGTTGACAGTGCATGTCAGAGCAAAAACCAAGCCATGAGGTCGACGGAATTGTCCGTAGAGCTGCGAGACAGAATTGTGTCGAGGCACAGATCTGGGGAAGGGTACCAAAACATTTCTGCAGCACTGAAGGTCCCCTAGAACACAGTGGCCTCCATCAATCTTAAATGGAAGAAGTTTGGAACCACCAATCGTGGGAGAAGGGCCTTGGTCAGGGAGGTGACCAAGAACCTTATGGTCACTCTGACAGAGCTCAAGAGTTCCTCTGTGGAGATGAGAGAAACTTCCAGAAGGACAACCATCTCTGCAGCACCACCAATCAGGCCTTTATGGTAGAGTGGCCAGACGGAAGACACTCCTCAGTAAAATTCACTTGACAGCCCGCTTGGAGTTTGCCAAAAGGCACCTATAAAAGGACTCTCAGACCATGAGAAACAAGATTCTCTAGTCTGATGAAACCCAGATTGTGGCTTCGGGACAAGTCTCTGAATGTCTTGAGTGACCCAGCCAGAAGCCAGACTTGAACATCTCTGGAGAGACCTGAAAATAGCTGGCCAGCGACGCACCCCATCCAACCTGAGAGAGCTTGAGAGGATCTGCAGAGAAGAATGGGAGAAACTCCCCAAATACAGGTGTGCCAAGCTTGTAGCGTCATACCCAAGAAGACTTGAGGCTGTAATCACTGCCAAAGGTGCTTCAACAAAGTACTGAGTAAAGGGTCTTAATACTTATGTAAATGTGATATCAGTTTTTTATTTTTAATACATTTGCCAAACCTGTTTTTGCTTTGTCATTATGGGGTATTGGGTGTAGACTGATGAGGGGAAAAAACAATTGAATCTATTTTAGAATAAGGCTGTAACGTAACAAAATGTGGAAAAAGTAAAGGGGTCTGTATACTTTCCGAATACACCGTATGTTTCTTGGCCTTTATAAACACATTTCATGCAATTCTAATACCCCAGTAGGATAACCTACTTTGCTGACTGTGACAAACAGATCAATACAAATTATCCATATAATACGAGAAGGGATCGGGGAAACACAAATAGCCTACAATATGACATCATCTAACCTGGACGAGGAAACACAGCCTCCAATATGACATCATCTAACCTGGAGGAGGAAACACAGCCTACAATATGACATCATCTAACCTGGAGGAGGAAACACAGCCTCCAATATGACATCATCTAACCTGGAGCGAGGAAACACAGCCTACAATATGACATCAATCTAACCTGGACGAGGAAACACAGCCTACAATATGACATCATCTAACCTGGACGAGGAAACACAGCCTACAATATGACATCATCTACCTGGACGAGGAAACACAGCCTACAATATGACATCATCTAACCTGGACGAGGAAACCACAGCCTACCAATATGACATCATCTAAACCTGGAGGAGGAAACACAGCCTACAATATGACATCATTAACCTGGACGAGGAAACACAGCCTACAATATGACATCATCTAACCTGGAGGAGGAAACACAGCCTACAATATGACATCATCTAACCTGGACGAGGAAACACAGCCTACAATATGACATCATCTAACCTGGAGGAGGAAACACAGCCTACAATATGACATCATCTAACCTGGACGAGGAAACACAGCCTACAATATGACATCATCTAACCTGGAGCGAGGAAACACAGCCTACAATATGACATCATCTAACCTGGAGGAGGAAACACAGCCTACAATATGACATCATCTAACCTGGACGAGGAAACACAGCCTACAATATGACATCATCTAACCTGGAGGAGGAAACACAGCCTACAATATGACATCATCTAACCTGGAGGAGGAAACACAGCCTCCAATATGACATCATCTAACCTGGACGAGGAAACACAGCCTACAATATGACATCATCTAACCTGGAGGAGGAAACACAGCCTCCAATATGACATCATCTAACCTGGACGAGGAAACACAGCCTACAATATGACATCATCTAACCTGGAGGAGGAAACACAGCCTCCAATATGACATCATCTAACCTGGACGAGGAAACACAGCCTCCAATATGACATCATCTAACCTGGACGAGGAAACTGTCCAGAAAACACATTTCCAAGTGGCACTGACTCAACAATGATAAAGAGTAAATATGGGCACTCACTGGGGATAAGACTGATGCTCTCCGCTGTATCAATTAAGTTGAGAACTTTAATAACTACAAAAGACAGAGTTTTTCATTCTTTACAGCAATAGCCATTTGCTTTCCAAACTATGATGAAATATTGCTTAATGCCTGGCTGGGCCTCTTTACTGGCCCTTCTGACCGTAGGCAATGCGATTTAAAACAATCCACAGCTATTTTTTTTAAAGAAGCTAATGATTATTTTGAATGGAGTCTGACCATTCGGCTATAGAATTTTGACAATTTAATTAAAATGTACTTTAGGGGAAGATTAGCCTATGGACACGCCGCCTAGGTCTGTAGTGCAATTGTGATTGAGTATTCAAAACAAATGGCCACTGGATTGATGCAAATAATCATGATTCTGCCAGGTAGTCATAGGCTACTTTGTAGTTACCTTTTAAATCGCCTTTCCTTCTACCAGAAGACTGTTAAACTATCATTAGCATTGCTAATGGCTACAGAGTGGTGGACATGTAGGCCAATAAACACAAACAGACAGGGGCATTACCGTGCCCTGACACACCGACCGGGGCATTACCGTGCCGTTGTTGCCTCTTCAGAGAGTTGGTCTATTTTTCAGGTCAATTAAACATTACTGTTTAAATAAATCATGATAATAAACATTACTGTTTAAATAAATCATGATAATAAAAAAAAAGCTAAATTGTGAACCAAACACGAACGTGACCAGGTAACATTGTTTTCACTGGCACCCTTGCGACCAACTAAAAATATGTGTCGCACTGTCAAAGAAAAACGGTCGCAAATGCAAATGTTTTGGTCTCAGTATCGAACCCTGAGTGGTGATAGTCTTGTCAGAGCATGGTCATTGAGTAATGATAGTAGTAGTGATATTTCTTACCCTCACGTTACCCTCAGAGCCCAGCTGCTTGCGTGGTTTGTCCGGCTCGGCCCGTGTTCCGTCAGGGTAAGCATGCATGTAGAAACACTTCCCTCCAAACGGACAGCTTCCCCGGCCCTGGTCAAAGTATTTACACGCCTTCTTACTATAGAAGGAAGACAACAGGAAGGAGAGAACAGGACACTGGGCAGGGTTAGAGTTAGGGACCAGCACCCTGGTCAAAGTATTTACATTTACATTTTTTTAAAACATTTTAGTCATTTAGCAGACGCTCTTATCCAGAGTGACTTACAGTTAGTGAGTGCATACATATTTTTTTTTTTCATACTGGCCCCCCGTGGGAATCGAACCCACAACCCTGGTGTTGCAAGCGCCATCCTCTACCAACTGAGCTACACAGGGCCATTTACATGGCTTCCAACTACAGAAGGAAGACAACAGGACAGGAAACACGGAAACCAGCTTTCAGATTGAAGATCAGCTGTAACTATGTTGGATGTGTGGCCGGGTCAGAACAGGACAGCTCAGCTTGGCAGTGGGCTGAATGTAGCGACAGTAAAATGATGCTTAGCTGGTATTATTCTGGCCCAGTGGACAGTGTACTACAGTTGAAGGTTAGCTGGTATTATGTTGTTCCACTATGAGGTTAGCTGGTATTATGTTGTTCTGAGGTTAGCTGGTATTATGTTGTTCCACTATGAGGTTAGCTGGTATATTATGTGTATCCCACTATGAGGTTAGCTGGTATGTATGTTGTTTCCACTATGAGGTTTAGCTGGTATTTATGTTGTTCCACTTGAGGTTACTGTATTATGTTGTGTCCTTTTTAGCTGGTATTATATGTTGTTCTACTATGAGGGTTAGCTGGTATTATGTTGTTCTTGAGGTTAGCTGGTATTATGTTTGTCTGAGGTTAGCTGGTATTATGTTGTTCTGAGGTTAGCTGGTATTATGTTGTTCCACTATGGAGGTTGAGCTGGTATTATGGTTGTTCTGAGGTTAGCTGGTTATTATGTTTGTTCTGAGGTTAGCTGTATTATTGTTGTTCCACCTATGAGGTTAGCTGGCTATTATGGTTGGTTCACTATGAGGTTAGCTGGTAGGTATTATGTTTGTTCTGAGGTTAGCTGGTATTATGTTTGTTCCACTGATGAGGTTTAGCTGTATTATGGTTTGTTACTACTATGAGGTTAGGCTGGTATATGTTTGTTCTGAGGTAGGCTGGGTATATGTGTGTTCCTGAGGTTAGCTGGTATTATGTTGTTCCACTATGAGGTTAGCTGGTATTATGTTGTTCTGAGGTTAGCTGGTATTATGTTGTTCTGAGGTTAGCTGGTATTATGTTGTTCCACTATGAGGTTAGCTGGTATTATGTTGTTCCACTATGAGGTTAGCTGGTATTATGTTGTTCCACTATGAGGTTAGCTGGTATTATGTTGTTCCACTATGAGGTTAGCTGGTATTATGTTGTTCTGAGGTTAGCTGGTATTATGTTGTTCTGAGGTTAGCTGGTATTATGTTGTTCTGAGGTTAGCTGGTATTATGTTGTTCCACTATGAGGTTAGCTGGTATTATGTTGTTCCACTATGAGGTTAGCTGGTATTATGTTGTTCTACTATGAGGTTAGCTGGTATTATGTTGTTCTGAGGTTAGCTGGTATTATGTTGTTCTGAGGTTAGCTGGTATTATGTTGTTCTGAGGTTAGCTGGTATTATGTTGTTCCACTATGAGGTTAGCTGGTATTATGTTGTTCTACTATGAGGTTAGCTGGTATTATGTTGTTCTGAGGTTAGCTGGTATTATGTTGTTCTGAGGTTAGCTGGTATTATGTTGTTCTGAGGTTAGCTGGTATTATGTTGTTCCACTATGAGGTTAGCTGGTATTATGTTGTTCCACTATGAGGTTAGCTGGTATTATGTTGTTCCACTATGAGGTTAGCTGGTATTATGTTGTTCCACTATGAGGTTAGCTGGTATTATGTTGTTCTGAGGTTAGCTGGTATTATGTTGTTCTGAGGTTAGCTGGTATTATGTTGTTCTGAGGTTAGCTGGTATTATGTTGTTCCACTATGAGGTTAGCTGGTATTATGTTGTTCCACTATGAGGTTAGCTGGTATTATGTTGTTCCACTATGAGGTTAGCTGGTATTGTGTTGTTCCACTATGAGGTTAGCTGGTATTATGTTGTTCCACTATGAGGTTAGCTGGTATTATGTTGTTCCACTATGAGGTTAGCTGGTATTATGTTGTTCCACAGTAAAAGGCCAGCAGCCCACAGAGCTCCTCTGTCTATCATCTAGAGCTCTGGTCAGTGCTGTCCAGTATACAGTGTCTGACCTGACTGCAGACTTTAACTGCTCATCCTTAACGTATAGTTAGTCTACACCAAGTGCACAAAACATTAGGAACACCTGCTCTTCCCATGACAGACTGACCAGGTGAATCCAGGTGAAAGCTATGATCCCTTATTGATGTCACCTGTTAAATCCACTTCAGCCAGTGTAGATGAAGGGGAGGAGACAAGTTAAAGAAGGATTTTTAAGCCTTGAGACATGGATTGTGTAGGTGTGCCATTCAGAGGGTGAATGGGCAAGACAAAAGATTTAAGTGCCTTCGAATGGGGTATGGTGCCAGGCGCACCGGTTTGAGTCAAGAACTGCAACACTGCTGGGTTTTTCCACGCTCAACAGTTTCCAGTGTGTATCAAGAATGGTCCACCACCCAAAAGACATCCAGCCAACTTGACACAACTGTGGGAAGCATTGCAGTCAACATGGGCCAGCATCCCTGTGGAACGCTTTCGACACCTTGTAGAGTCCATGCCCCGACGAATTGAGGCTGTTCTGAAGGCAAAAAGGGGTGGTGGTGCAACTCAATATTAGGAAGGTGTTCTTAATGTTTTGTACCCTCTATGTATGTACAGTTGAAGTCCGAAGTTTACAAACACTTAGGTTGGAGTCATTCAAACTCATTTTTCAACCACTCAACAAATTTCTTGTTAACAAACTATAGTTTTGGCAAGTCGGTTAGGACATCTACTTTGTGCATGACAAGTAATTTTTCCAACAATTGTTTACAGACAGATTATTTCACTATAATTCATTGTATCACAATTCCAGTGGGTCAGAAGATTACATACACTAAGTTGACTGTGCCTTTAAACAGCTTGGAAAATTCCAGAAAATTATGTCATGGCTTTAGAAGCTTCTGATAGGCTAATGGACATCATTTGAGTCAATTGGAGGTGTACCTGTGGATGCATTTCAAGGCCTAACTTCAAACTCAGTGCCTCTTTGCTTGACATCATGGGAAAATAAAAAGAAATCAGCAAAGACCTCAGAAAAAATATTGTAGACCTCCACAAGTCTGGTTCATCCTTGGGAGCAATTTCCAAACGCCTGAAGGTACCACGTTCATCTGTACAAACAATAATACGCAAGTATAAACACCATGGGACCACGCAGCCATCATACCGCTCAGGAAGGAGACGCGTTCTGTCTCCTAGAGATGAACGTACTTTGGTGCGAAAAGTGCAAATCAATCCCAGAACAACAGCAAAGGATCTTGTGAAGATGCTGGAGGAAACCGGTACAAAAGTTTCTATATCCACAGTAAAACAAGTCCTATATCGACATAACCTGAAAGGCCGCTCAGCAAGGAAGAAGCCACTGCTCCAAAACCGCCATAAAAAAGCCAGACTACGGTTTGCAAATGCACATGGGGACAAAGATCGTACTTTTTTGAGAAATGTCCTCTGGTCTGATGAAACAAAAATAGAACTGTTTGGCCATAATGACCATCGTTATGTTTGGAGGAAAAAGGTGCACTTCACAAAATAGATGGCATCATCAGGAAGGAAAATTATGTGGATATATTGAAGCAACATCTCAAGACATCAGTCAGGAAGTTAAAGCATGGTCGCAAATGAGTCTTCCAAATGGAAAATGACCCCAAGCATACTTCCAAAGTTGTGGCAAAATGGCTTAAGGACAACAAAGTCAAGGTATTGGAGTGGCCATCACAAAGCCCTGACCTCAATCCTATAGAAAATCTGTGGGCAGAACTGAAAAAGCGTGTGCGAGCAAGGAGGCCTACAAACCTGACTCAGTTACACCAGCTCTGTCAGGAGCAATGGGCCAAAATTCACCCAACTTATTGTGGGAAGCTTGTGGAAGGCTCCCCGAAACGTTTGACCCAAGTTAAACAATTTAAAGGCAATGCTACCAAATACTAATTGAGTGTATGTAAACTTCTGACCCACTGGGAATTTGATGAAAGAAATAAAAAGCTGAAATATATAATTCTCTCTACTATTATTCTGACATTTCACATTCTTAAAATAAAGTGGTGATCCTAACTGACCTAAAACAGGGAATTTTTACTAGGATTAAATGTCAGGAATTGTGAAAAACTGAGTTTAAATGTATTTGGCTAAGGTGTATGTAAACTTCTGACTTTAACTGTATGTTCACTATACAGTGAGGGAAAAAAGTATTTGATCCCCTCTCAATCAGAAAGATTTCTGGCTCCCAGGTGTCTTTTATACAGGTAACGATCTACAAAGAGGAGTGGGACAAAATCCCTCCTGAGATGTGTGCAAACCTGGTGGCCAACTACAAGAAACGTCTGACCTCTGTGATTGCCAACAAGGGTTTTGCCACCAAGTACTAAGTCATGTTTTGCAGAGGGGTCAAATACTTATTTCCCTCATTAAAATGCAAATCAATTTATAACATTTTTGACATGCGTTTTTCTGGATTTTTTTGTTGTTATTCTGTCTCTCACTGTTCAAATAAACCTACCATTAAAATTATAGACTGATCATGTCTTTGTCAGTGGGCAAACGTACAAAATCAGCAGGGGATCAAATACTTTTTTTCCCCTCACTGTATATACAAAAGTATGTGGACACCCTTTCAAATTAGTGGATTCTGCTATTCCAACCACACACGATGCTAACAGGTGTATAAAATCAAGCACCCAGCCATACAATCTCCATAGACAAACATTGGCAGTAGAATGGCCTTACTGAAGAGCTCAGTGACTTTCAACATGGCACCGTCATAGGATACCACCTTTCCCACAAGTCAGTTCGTTAAAATATCTGTGAAGTGGAAACGTCTAGATGCAACAACTGTTCAGCCGTGAAGTGGTAGGCCACAAGCTCACAGAACAGGACCGTCGAGTGCTGAAGCGTGCACAGACACTGTTGCAACACACACTACCGAGTTCCAAACTGCCTCTGGACGCAACGTAAGCACAAGAACGGTTCATCGGGAGCTTCATGAAATGGGTTTCCATAACAAGCAGCCGCACACAAGCCTAAGATCACCATGCACAATGCCAAGTGTCAGCTAGAGTGGTGTAAAACTTGCCGCCATTGGACTCTGGAGTAGCGGAAACACGTTCTCTGGAGTGATGAACACCTTTGGGATGAATTGGAACGCCGACTGCAAGCCAGGCCTAATCGCCCAACATCAGTGCCCGACCTCACTAATGCTCTTGTGGCTGAATGGAAGCAAGTCCCCGCAGCAATGTTCCAACATCTAGTGGAAAGCCTTCCCAGAAGAGTGGAGGTGTCCACATACAAGCAGGTGTCCACATACTTTTGGTCATGTACTTTCTGCTTACATAAGTGTCAAAGATGACACATTACACATGCGTTTGCATTTTCTCAAAAGATACTGGAATGAGATGTTCGACGAGCAGGTGTTAACATATTTTTTGTCATACAGTACCAGTCAAAAGTTTGGACACCTACTGATTCCAGGATTTTTCTTTATTTTTACTATTTTCTACGTTGTAGAATAATAGTGAAGACATCAAAACTATGAAATAACACATTTGGAATCATGTAGTAAACACAAAAGTGTTAAACCAATCAAAATAATAATGGCCAAATGTTGCACAATCCAGGTGTGGAATTGTGAAAAACTGAGTTTAAATGTATTTGGCTAAGGTGTTCAGTCGTGGTCAAAAGTTTTGAGAATGACACAAGTATTGGTCTTCAAAGTTTGCTGCTTCAGTGTTTTTAGATATTTTTGTCAGATGTTACTATGGTATACTGAAGTATAATTACAAGCATTCCATAACTAAGGGGGAAAACTCTAGAAAGTTGAGTGAAGTTCAATCTCTAGCTTCTCTGAGCAGGCTGATATTTATTTCTGCGCAGCTTAGAGGGAACATTGATGGTGGCTGCATCATGTTATGGGTATGCTTGTCATCGTTAAGGACTGGGGAGTTTTTCAGGATAAAGAAACGGGGTGGAGCTAAGCACAGGCAAAGTCCTAGAGGAAAACCTGTTTCAGTCTGCTTTCCACCAGACACTGGGAGATGAATTCACCTTTCAGCAGGACAATAACCTAAAACACAAGGCCAAATGTACACTGGAGTTGCTTACCAAGAAGACAGTGAATGAGTGGCCGAGTTAGTTTTTACTTAAATCTATGGCAAGACCTAAAAATGGTTCTCTAGCAATGATCAACCACCAATTCAACAGAGCTTGAAGAATTATGAAAATAATAATGGGCAAATGTTGCACAATACAGGTGTGGAAAACTCTTACAGATTTACCCAGAAAGACTCACAGCTGTAATCGCTGCCAAAGGTGCTTCTACAAAATATTGATTCAGGGGTGTGAATACTTATGTAAATGAGATTTGTGTATTTCATTTTCAAGAAAAATATGTTTTCACTTTCTAACTACTACTACTAGCAGGTGTCCACATACCTTAGGTAATGTACTTTCTGCTTACATAAGTGTCAAAGATGACACATTACACATGCGTTTGCATTTTCTCAAAAGATACTGGAATGAGATGTTCGACGAGCAGGTGTTAACATATTTTTGATTTATTTAGAATTCAAGGAACACTTAACCAGCATGGCTACCTCAGCATTCTGCAGCGATACGCCATCCCATCTGGTTTGGGCTTAGTGGGACTATCTTTTTTTTTTTTTCAACAGGACAATGACCCAACACACCTCCAGGCTGTGTAAGGGCTATTTGACCAAGAAGGAGAGTGATGGAGTGCTGCATCAGATGATCTGGCCTCCACAATCCCCCGACTTCAACCCAATTGAGATGGTTTGGGATGAGTCGGACCACAGAGTGAAGGAAAAGCAGCCAACAAGTGCTCAGCATATGTGGGAACTCATTCAAGACTGTTGGAAAAGCATTCCAGGTGAAGCTGGTTGAGAGAATGCCAAGAGTGTGCAAAGCTGTCATCAAGGCAAAGGGTGGCTATTTGAAGAATCTCAAATATAAAATATATTTTGATTTGTTTAACACTTTTTTGTTTACTACATGATTCCATATGTGTTATGTCATAGTTTTGATGTCTTCACTATTATTCTACAATGTAGAAAATATTAAAAGAATAAAGAAAAATCCTGGGATGAGTAGGTGTGTCCAAGCTTTTGACTGGTACCACACACACACACACACACACACACACACACACACCTGACTCCAGACTTGAAGTCCTCTATCAGTCTGTTCTTCTCATCCTGGTCCTCCACCCAGTAACCGCTGGGGATGACAAACTCAGACACCACTCTGCACTCTGGACACGACCTGGAGAGAGAGGCACACAGTTAGCCACATCCTGGTCCTCCACTCAGTAACCGCTGGGCATGACAAACTCAGACACCACTCTGCACTCTGGACACGACCTGACCAGAGACACAACACTGTATACTATGTCCAGTCATTCTCTGCTGCTTCATGACTACATCCTGCTGAAACTCTCTGAAGTTATCAGGGTTACCTGATTAACAGTGGAGGTTAGACATGCATTTCTATTAGCACCCTGGTGGTAAAACAACCATCACATCCTCACTATTATGTAGAAGCTATGGAGGCTCTTCTACCATAGTATATTAGCAACCATCAACTCAATTTATGATCTTGTTCTCAAACTGCTTGGTGTTTATAGTAGTTATCAACTCACTTGATGATCTTGTTCTCAAACTGCTTGGTGTTTATAGTAGTTATCAACTCACTTGATGATCTTGTTCTCAAACTGCTTGGCGCAGCGCCACTGGCGGATGCAGGAGAGGCAGTATGTGTGGCAGCAGGAAGAGAGGATCCCGAAGCGTCTCTCTGAGGCTGCAGCTTTCTCATAAACCACCTCCATACAGATGGAACACACCTTGTCCTGGCTGTGCTGCGCTGCAAACGCCTTCTCCATGTCCGCCTCGAACACCAACATACACATCTGACAGAGAGAGGCGATACCTATTGATATCCAAACAGTATCATCTTCATCCAACATTGTTTAACTTGTCCATTGTCCTCCACTTAGGACACAGTTCTATCAACATAAAGCTATATTAGACAGTGCAATTAGAGACTACAGAACAATGTGGCCTCCTACCTTCTTGGGAGCTCTCCTCTGCTCGGGGTCATGTGTGGGTTAGGGTTAAAGGTCAGTAGTATGGGTCCTACCTTCTCGTGAGCTCTCCTCTGCTCGGGGTCATGTGGGTGGAGCACCTGAAGACGGCAGATGTCACACAGGTCACCGTGGAGATAGGGACAGGTGTTTCCATAGTGACACTGTCCTGCAGCGGCGTAGGGACAGAGCTGTGGCTGGGGGCCAGGGACATGGTAGGGGCCGGCCGTGGCAGAACACTCCAGACCGGTCCTGATGGCGTCCAGGTAGGAGTGAGGAGGTTTGGCATGGGCGCTGTTGTCATGGTACTCCGCCCAACAGTCCGCCTCTGAGCCACCCCCACCGTAGGGCATCATTCTACTGTCACACCCCAAGGCTGGAACACACAGACAGACAGACAGTTGAAGTCAAGGTCACAGAATATTCGATTCACCATTCATACTATTGGCTGCATCACATTGACACCTCCTAGTGACAAACTACATACTAAAACTATTGGTTTAAATCTGAGACACACCACTACACCCTCTCACATGTAGCCTAATATAATATTAACTCCTGCTAAATGTGTTGCTCCTAGACATTTCCACTTCACAATAACAGCACTTACAGTTGACCGGGGCAGCTCTAGCAGGGCAGAAATTTGACGAACTGACTTGTTGGAAAGGTGGCATCCTATGATGGTGACATGTTGAAAGTCACTGAGTTCTTCAGTAAGGCCATTCTACTGCCAATGTTTGTCTCTGGAGATTGCATGGCTGCGTGAAGTCTTATAGTTCTCAGCTTTTCATTTCCTTAAAACCGGTCAAACTGATTAACTAGATTACTAAAGGCATTCATTAGATCAATGTAAGACATTATTCTAGTGAACATTACTTTAGTCTTCTGGGGCAACAAGTTAAGACAGAGGAGAAGCTGCATGTATCTAACTATAGTTGACAAACAAATGGCCTACCAAATGTCCCAAGTTATACGGCCTACCAAATGTCCCAAGTTATACGGCCTACCAAATGTCCCAAGTTATACGGCCTACCAAATGTCCCAAGTTATACGGCCTACCAAATGTCCCAAGTTATACGGCCTACCAAATGTCCCAAGTTATACGGCCTACCAAATGTCCCAGGTTATACGGCCTACCAAATGTCCCAGGTTATACGGCCTACCAAATGTCCCAAGTTATACGGCCTACCAAATGTCCCAGGTTATACGGCCTACCAAATGTCCCAAGTTATACGGCCTACCAAACGTCCCAAGTTATACGGCCTACCAAATGTCCCAAGTTATACGGCCTACCAAATGTCCCAAGTTATACGGCCTACCAAACGTCCCAAGTTATACGGCCTACCAAATGTCCCAAGTTATACGGCCTACCAAATGTCCCAGGTTATACGGCCTACCAAATGTCGGAAATTATAAGCAGAAACGTAATTAAATTATAGTAAATTAATGATAGTAGGCTAAATTACTATGGTGGATTGAACTATGCAGGTTGCCTACTATTTGAAGTGAATTGTTTGACAGATGAAAACATCATCACACAAGACCCATGATATGTGAAACTGAGCCTGAGCTGACCGCAAAAACAACAGTAAACGGGATAAGATGTTTACATGCCACAGTATCCCATCTAAGATCAGCATATCCCAGGCATCTTATCCGGGTTTCTCATAACCGGGATACAAGCTTTTTTGGGTTATTGTAAATGGGATATGATGTTTATATGCGTCAACTAGGGCTAGGTGATATGGCCTAAAAATCATATCTTGATTTTTTTCAAACTTATGGACGATTCACAATATACACTACCAGTCAAAAGTTTTAGAACACCTACTCATTCAAGGGTTTTTCTTTATTTTTACTATTTTCTACATTGTAGAATAATAGTGAAGACATCAAAACTATGAAATAACACATATGGAATCATGTAGTAACCAAAAAAAGAGTTCAACAAATCAAAATATATTTTATGAGATTCTTCAAATAGCCACCCTTTGCTTTGATGACTGCTTTGCATACTCTTGGCATTCTCTCAACCAGCTTCATGAGGTAGTCACACTTCAAATGCAGTCGCAAAAACCATCAAGTGAATGATGAAACTGGCTCTCATGAGGACCGCTACAGGAATGGAAGACCCAGAGTTACCTCTGCTGCAGAGGATACGTTTATTAGAGTTACCAGCCTCAGAAATTGCAGCCCAAATAAATGCTTCACAGAGTTCAAGTAAAAGACATCTCAACATCAACTGTTCAGAGGGGACTGTGTGAGTCAGGCCTTCATGGTCGAATTGCTGCAAAGAAACCACTACTAAAGGACACCAATAATAAGAAGAGACCTGCTTGGGCCAAGAAACACGAGCAATGGACATTAGACAGGTGGAAATGTGTCCTTTGGTCTGATGAGTCCAAATTTGAGATTTTTGTTTCCAACCGCCGTGTCTTTGTGAGACACGGTGTGGGTGAACGGATGATCTCCGCATGTGTATTTCCCACCGTAAAGCATGGAGGTGTTGTTATGGTGTGGGGGTGCTTTGCTGGTGACACTGTCTGTGATTTATTTAGAATTCAAGGCACACTTAACCAGCATGGCTACCACAGCATTCTGTAGAGATATGCCATCCCATCTGGTTTGGGCTATCATTTGTTTTTCAACAGGACACTGACTCAACACCCCTCCAGGCTGTGTAAGGGCTATTTGACCAAGAAGGAGAGTGATGGAGTGTTGCATCAGATGACCTGGCCTCCACAATCCTCCGACCTCAACCCAATTGAGATGGTTTGGGATGAGTCGGACGGCAGAGTGAAGGAGAAGCAGCCAACAAGTGCTCAGCATATGTGGGAACTCCTTCAAGACTGTTGGAAAAGCATTCCAGGTGAAGCTGGTTGAGAGAATGCCAAGAGTGTGCAAAGATGTCATCAAGGCAAAGGGTGGCTATTTGAAGAATCTCAAATATAACATATATTTTGATTTTGTTAACACTTTTTTGGTTACTACATGATTCCATAGGTGCTATTTCTTAGTTTTGATGTCTTCACTATTATTCTACAATGTAGAAAATAGTAAAAATAAAGTAAAACCCTTGAATGAGGAGGTGTTCTAAAACTTTTGACTGGTACTGTGTGTGTGTGTGTGTGTGTGTGTGTTAGTTTGAGAAACAGACGCCTCACAGGTCCTCAACTGGCAGCTTCATTAAATAGTACCCGCAAAACACCAGTCTCAACGTCAACAGTGAAGAGGCGACTCCGGGATGCTGACCTTCTAGGCAGAGAGAAAAAGTCCAGTGTCTGTGTTCTTTTTATTGGCCAGTCTGAGATACGGCTTTGCAACTCTGCCTAGAAGGTCAGCATTATAAGGAGACATGTCATAAAGCATGGCTGTCTCTTTGGTCAACCATGTTTCTAAAAAGGGCAACAATGGAACATTCATGACAGAGAAGACATCCCGGAGTCGCCTCTTCACTGTTGACATTGAGCCTGCTGTTTTGCGGGTACTATTTAATGAAGCTGCCAGTTGAGGACCTGTGAGGCGGCTGTTTCTCAAACTAGACACTAATGTATTTGTCCTCTTGCTCAGTTGTGCACCGGGGCCTCCCACTCCTCTTTCTATTCTGGTTAGAGCCAGTTTGCACTGTTCTGTGAAGGGAGTAGTACACAGCGTTGTACGAGATCTACAGTTTCTTGGCAATTTCTCGCATGGAATAGCCTTCATTTCTCAGAACAAGAATAGACTGACGTGTTTCAGAAGAAAGTTATTTGTTTCTGGCCATTTTTTATCCTGTAATCGAACCCACAATTGCTGATGCTCCAGATACTCAACTAGTCTCAAGAAGGCCAGTTTTATTGCTTCTTTAATCAGCACAACAGTTTTTAGCTGTGCTAACAAAATTGCAAAAGGGTTTTCTAATGATCAATTAGCCTTTAAAATGATAAACTTGGATTAGCAAACACAACGTGCCATTGGAACACAGGACTGATGGTTGCTGATAATGGGCCTCTGTCCGCCTATGTAGATATTCCATTAAAAATCAGCCGTTTCCAGCTACAATAGCCATTAACAATGTCTACACTGTATTTCTGATCAATTTGATGTTATTTTAAAAATGGACAAAAAAATTGCTTTTCTTTCGAAAACAAGGACATTTCTAAGTGACCCCAAACGTTTGAACGGTAGTGTATATAGATAGAGATATAGCTAGATAGATAGAGCTCTATTTTCTAAGTGACCCCAAACGTTTGAACGGTAGTGTATATAGATAGAGATATAGCTAGATAGATAGAGCTCTATTTTCTAAGTGACCCCAAACGTTTGAACGGTAGTGTATATAGATAGAGATATAGCTAGATAGATAGAAAATAGAGCTCTATCTATCTAGCTATATCTCTATCTATATACACTACCGTTCAAACGTTTGGGGTCACTTAGAAAATAGAGCTCTATCTATCTAGCTATATCTCTATCTATATACACTACCGTTCAAACGTTTGGGGTCACTTAGAAAAAATGGTCTATCTTTCTATATCTCTCTATATACAACCGTTCTACTAGAAATAGAGCTCTATCTATCTAGCTATATCTCTATCTATATACACTACCGTTCAAACGTTTGGGTCACTTAGAAAAAGAGTCTATCATTAGATATTCTATCATATACCTCCGTTCAACTTTGGGTCACTTAGAAAATAGAGCTCTATCTATCTAGCTATATATCTATATACACTACCGTTCAACGTTGGGTCACTTAGAAAATAGAGCTCTAGCTATCTCGCTATATCTCTATCTATACCCTACCGTTTCAAACGTTTGGGGTCACTATTAGAAAAATAGAGCTCTAAGTGACCCCAAACGTTTGAACGGGTAGTGTATATAGATATAGATATAGCTAGATAGATAGAGCTCTATTTTCTAAGTGACCCCAAACGTTTGAACGGTAGTGTATATAGATAGAGATATAGCTAGATAGCTAGAGCTCTATTTTCTAAGTGACCCCAAACGTTTGAACGGTAGTGTATATAGATAGAGATATAGCTAGATAGATAGAGCTCTATTTTCTAAGTGACCCCAAACGTTTGAACGGTAGTGTATATAGATAGAGATATAGCTAGATAGATAGAGCTCTATTTTCTAAGTGACCCCAAACTTTTGAACGGTAGTGTATATAGATAGAGATATAGCTAGATAGATAGAGCTCTATTTTCTATTGCAGACTAGGCAGCTAGTATTACAGTGCGGTACATGGCTCCCCAATGCCGCACGTGACAAACTGTGCATTCATTTTCAATCATCAATGTTCATTGATACTCTTGTTTTAGTAGTGTCTACTCTGTGCGCAATTTGAGTAGTTGAGATAAAAAGGGTAGAAAAGTTAATTTTTTCTGTACTAGAGGAGAAGTTGTCTCAATGTGTTTGTCCATATGACCGATTCTGTTGGACCAAACCTCAAATGCAACTAGCGAGTTGAAACCGCTTTGTCTGAGAGGAAGATGTGATCTGTCAACTATGTTGGCGTGAGAGGGGCTTGGTGTGAGAGTAGGGGGAGGGGCTTGGTGTGAAGGGGAGGGGCTTGGTGTGAGGGGGAGGGGCTTGGTGTGAGAGGCAGGGGGAAGGGCTTGGTGTGAGAGGCAGGGGGAGGGGCTTGGTGTGAGGGGCTTGGTGTGAGGGGGAGGGGCTTGGTGTGAGGGGGAGGGGGAAGGGCTTGGTGTGAGGAGCTTGGTGTGAGGGGGAGGGGCTTGGTGTGAGAGGCAGGGGGAGGGGCTTGGTGTGAGGGGGAGGGGGGGCTTGGTGTGAGGGGGAGGGGAAGGGCTTGGTGTGAGAGCTTGGTGTGAGGGGGAGGGGCTTGGTGTGAGATGCAGGGGGAGGGGCTTGGTGTGAGAGGCGGGGGGGAGGGGCTTGGTGTGAAAGGCGGGGGGAGGGGCTTGGTGTGAGAGGCAGGGGGAGGGGCTTGGTGTGAGAGGCGGGGGGAGGGGCTTGGTGTGAGGAGCAGGGGGAGGGGCTTGGCGTGAGAGGCAGGGGGAGGGGCTTGGTGTGAGAGGCAGGGGGAGGGGCTTGGTGTGAGAGGCAGGGGGAAGGGCTTGGTGTGAGAGGCGGGGGGAGGGGCTTGGTGTGAGGGGGAAGGGCTTGGTGTGAGAGGCGGGGGGAGGGGCTTGGTGTGAGAGGCGGGGGGAGGGGCTTGGTGTGTGTGTGTGTGTAAACCATAGAGGAAGCGAGAGGTTTCACTCTTGCTAAAATCTGTCCAAAATAAGGCCAAAGTGTTTCTATGGGCTTATTTTGGACCTAAACTTGTCACCTGCCTTCCTGCCTTTGGGACAACAACTCCCATTGTTAGGGTGGAGACGTGAGCATCTCCTCATTATATCCAGATTTCTGGTGTAAATTGGAAGGTGCACAGGACAGAAGGAGCGAATGAGACGAGACCAGAAATACAACATGAGAAGAAGCGAACATAAACGCTCAGAAAAACGAAAAATAACAAAAACTTGATTCTTGCGATACAGGCATTTGGAATATCACGCGAAAAACATATTTGAATAAATCAAATTAATTCTATAACCCAGTCCTAGCGTCAACTCAAAAACAGAATACTTGAGTATCCCGAATAATAACGGGATATTGGTGTGTATGTAGACGTGGTCAGTGAGATGGCCACCATGCATACCTCTATCTCTCAGTGAGACGGCCACCATGCATACCTCTATCTCTCAGTGAGATGGCCACCATGCATACCTCTATCTCTCAGTGAGATGGCCACCATGCATACCTCTCGCTCTCTCAGTGAGATGGCCACCATGCATACCTCTATCTCTCAGTGAGATGGCCACCATGCATACCTCCATCTCTCAGTGAGATGGCCACCATGCATACCTCTATCTCTCAGTGAGATGGCCACCATGCATACCTCTATCTCTCAGTGAGATGGCCACCATGCATACCTCTATCTCTCAGTGAGATGGCCACCATGCATACCTCTATCTCTCAGTGAGATGGCCACCATGCATACCTCTATCTCTCTCAGTGAGACGGCCACCATGCATACCTCTCTCTCTCAGTGAGATGGCCACCATGCATACCTCTCTCTCTCTCAGTGAGACGGCCACCATGCATACCTCTATCTCTCAGTGAGACGGCCACCATGCATACCTCTATCTCTCAGTGAGATGGCCACCATGCATACCTCTATCTCTCAGTGAGATGGCCACCATGCATACCTCTCTCTCTCTCAGTGAGATGGCCACCATGCATACCTCTATCTCTCAGTGAGATGGCCACCATGCATACCTCCATCTCTCAGTGAGATGGCCACCATGCATACCTCTATCTCTCAGTGAGATGGCCACCATGCATACCTCTATCTCTCAGTGAGATGGCCACCATGCATACCTCTATCTCTCAGTGAGATGGCCACCATGCATACCTCTATCTCTCAGCACCAACGGTTTCTTCCCTCCGTTCTGCCTGGCTGGGGGTGCAGTGGGCCCAAGAGGTCCAGGTACCCCAGGAGAGATGAAGGCCCCAGCAGTGATGGGGTTTCTGTTAGGGAGGTCCGTGGGCACACCTCTCCCTCCCCCTCCTCCCCCTCCCCCTCCTGGCTTGATGTGGTCATACCTACAACAGAGAGTCACACAATGATAATAACAGACATTTATTGAACACTATAGTTGAGCAAAAACTCATCCAGTAACTGTACATTCCAGCCCATCAGTGCGGTCAGTAGGTTGGATCTTACCTGCAGCGGTCTCCGTAGGCGCACACACCTCTCTGGTAGAACTTACAGATGGTTGAAGGTTTACTGGTGGTCAGGTCATGAGAGAACATGCACCTGTTCCCTTCTCGGCAGACACCATGGAGAAAATACCTGCATAGCAACACAAGAAACCGGCAGAATTAGCAAGCTAACTAGCGTGTTGGTTAGCCATGATACCTTGGTTTCTGCTTATTCAGGCCGGATGTTCTGAGAACTGGTATACAGTCTGATTAGGTTCTTACGCTCACATTTCAAGATGGAGGCAAGCATGTCTTTGTTTGATCCGTGTTTGTAGCTGAAAAGCTTTTTGTGGATTTTGAGTCTCCATTTACCTTTGTTTCATCTGGCTGCGAACACATTGGACAATAGTGCAATATTGCATTCAGAGTTAAGGAGACATACAACACAGGTCTATGAAACTCTTGAGTCCTACTTGGAGATACCTGGGCACCCTCCTCTGCTCTGGGGCGTTATCTGATCAGACACCTGCCTCCTGTGATATACCTGGGCACCCTCCTCTGCTCTGGGGCGTTATCTGATCAGACACCTGGGCACCCTCCTCTGCTCTGGGGCGTTATCTGATCAGACACCTGCCTCCTGTGATATACCTGGGCACCCTCCTCTGCTCTGGGGCGTTATCTGACCAGACACCTGCCTCCTGTGATATACCTGGGCACCCTCCTCTGCTCTGGGGCGTTATCTGATCAGACACCTGCCTCCTGTGATATACCTGGGCACCCTCCTCTGCTCTGGGGCGTTATCTGATCAGACACCTGCCTCCTGTGATATACCTGGGCACCCTCCTCTGCTCTGGGGCGTTATCTGACCAGACACCTGCCTCCTGTGATATACCTGGGCACCCTCCTCTGCTCTGGGGCATTATCTGACCAGACACCTGCCTCCTGTGATATACCTGGGCACCCTCCTCTGCTCTGGGGCGTCATCTGATCAGACACCTGCCTCCTGTGATATACCTGGGCACCCTCCTCTGCTCTGGGGCGTTATCTGATCAGACACCTGGGCACCCTCCTCTGCTCTGGGGCGTTATCTGATCAGACACCTGGGCACCCTCCTCTGCTCTGGGGCGTTATCTGATCAGACACCTGCCTCCTGTGATATACCTGGGCACCCTCCTCTGCTCTGGGGCGTTATCTGACCAGACACCTGCCTCCTGTGATATACCTGGGCACCCTCCTCTGCTCTGGGGCGTCATCTGATCAGACACCTGCCTCCTGTGATATACCTGGGCACCCTCCTCTGCTCTGGGGCGTTATCTGATCAGACACCTGGGCACCCTCCTCTGCTCTGGGGCGTTATCTGATCAGACACCTGGGCACCCTCCTCTGCTCTGGGGCGTTATCTGATCAGACACCTGCCTCCTGTGATATACCTGGGCACCCTCCTCTGCTCTGGGGCGTTATCTGACCAGACACCTGCCTCCTGTGATATACCTGGGCACCCTCCTCTGCTCTGGGGCATTATCTGATCAGACACCTGTCTCCTGTGATATACCTGGGCACCCTCCTCTGCTCTGGGGCGTTATCTGACCAGACACCTGCCTCCTGTGATATACCTGGGCACCCTCCTCTGCTCTGGGGCATTATCTGATCAGACACCTGTCTCCTGTGATATACCTGGGCACCCTCCTCTGCTCTGGGGCGTTATCTGATCAGACACCTGGGCACCCTCCTCTGCTCTGGGGCGTTATCTGATCAGACACCTGCCTCCTGCTGCTTTCATCCTTCCACTTGACATACAGTACCAGTCAAAAGTTTGGACACATACTGATTCCAGGGTTTTTCTTTATTTTTACTATTTTCTACGTTGTAGAATAATAGTGAAGACATCAAAACTATGAAATAACACATTTGGAATCATGTAGTAACCAAAAAAGTGTTAAACCAATCAAAATAATAATGGCCAAATGTTGCACAATCCAGGTGTGGAATTGTGAAAAACGGAGTTTAAATGTATTTGGCTAAGGTGTTCAGTCGTGGTCAAAAGTTTTGAGAATGACACAAGTATTGGTCTTCAAAGTTTGCTGCTTCAGTGTTTTTAGATATTTTTGTCAGATGTTACTATGGTATACTGAAGTATAATTACAAGCATTCCATAACTAAGGGGGAAAACTCTAGAAAGTTGAGTGAAGTTCAATCTCTAGCTTCTCTGAGCAGGCTGATATTTATTTCAGCGCAGCTTAGAGGGAACATTGATGGTGGCTGCATCATGTTATGGGTATGCTTGTCATCGTTAAGGACTGGGGAGTTTTTCAGGATAAAGAAACGGGGTGGAGCTAAGCACAGGCAAAGTCCTAGAGGAAAACCTGTTTCAGTCTGCTTTCCACCAGACACTGGGAGATGAATTCACCTTTCAGCAGGACAATAACCTAAAACACAAGGCCAAATGTACACTGGAGTTGCTTACCAAGAAGACAGTGAATGAGTGGCCGAGTTAGTTTTTACTTAAATCTATGGCAAGACCTAAAAATGGTTGTCTAGCAATGATCAACCACCAATTCAACAGAGCTTGAAGAATTATGAAAATAATAAATGGGCAAATGTTGCACAATCCAGGTGTGGAAAACTCTTACAGATTTACCCAGAAAGACTCACAGCTGTAATTGCTGCCAAAGGTGCTTCTACAAAATATTGATTCAGGGGTGTGAATACTTATGTAAATGAGATTTGTGTATTTCATTTTCAAGAAAAATATGTTTTCACTTTCTGATTATGGTGTATTGGGTGAGAAATTGATTTAATCAATGTTTATTTCAGGCTGTAACACAACCAAACGTGGAATAAGTAATGGATACCAAAAATCTTTGGTTAAATCATATGATCTGGTGTAACAATCTGTAGCTACACTTTTTATTGCCAGCCAATAGTAGGCACTAGATCCGCACTATCATCTAGGGTTGATGTGGATTCCAGGTAATACACTGGTGTTCCGGCTCCTACATAAGGCATCCTCCATTCAGCTGCAGAGGAATCATTTTCCTCCTTAACTAGCTTAACATTTAACGTCCTAATACAACCATTTTCGGATAATTTAGGATGTTGCACACCTTTGGCTGAACGCGGTGTGCAACATCCTAAATTGTCCGAAAATGGTGGTGAAAATTTGTTTTATTAAGACGGTACACATTTTCCCCGTCTTTTTTACAACAGCTGCCTTTAAAGTTAGTTAGGGAGGGAAATGCTGCCTTTGCAGCCTGAATTGAGGATGCTTTATATACGAGCCGGTCCACCGGGCATCAACATCAACCCTGGTGGATAGTGCAGATCTAGTGTCCGCTATCGGCTGCCTAGTCTACACTTCAGCGCTAACTAGCAAACAAAAGCACCAATCGCGTGATCCATGGAAATGTTCAATCTGAGTAACACACTACCGCATGTTCTCAAAGATGTCGCACCAGATTGGTTAGTCAGCTTCAAAGCTAACGTTAGCAAGCTAACTAGCAACGGTAAAGAGTTAGCTAATGTTAGCTAGCCAGCTAGCCAGATAAGAAGCTAGCTAACATTTCCTAATTGCAAGACCGGAAACATCACACAGTTCAAGGCAAGAAACGCACTCAAGGAATAGTAAAACCATTAAACAGTTATACCTGCAGGTGACTTGCTTCGTGCTCATTTTTGTTCCTCAATAACATTGGCGCAACAGTATTTATGTTCTCGTTGTCACGTTTGAGTGCAACCCGAAACACCCGCCTATGAACCCCCAGAATCGATTAAACGAAGGTTCCGAGGGGAAGGTTCCGGACGGTTGTAGCAGACTGGTCGCCGGGGAGATGACGGTTCCGGACGGGTTGTAGCAGACTGGTCGCCGGGGAGATGGCGGTTCCGGACGGGTTGTAGCAGACTGGTCGCCGGGGAGATGGCGGTTCCGGACGGGTTGTAGCAGACTGGTCGCCGGGGAGATGGCAGAAGCAGAAGTGTCGTTTGAAGCTGAAGGCTGAAAGCAAGCCGAGTACAGTTAGCGAGAAAGATTAGTGGACAACAGTGAAGTCCAAGAATGGAACAAAAAGGGCTAAACTTGTTGTGGAAAATGAGTCTGATGAATCGTTGCTTGTTGGAGGACGTTTTTTTGTTTAAGGATGTTTATTTGGGAAACCCTTTTGAAGTCAAGAGGATGGTGAAGAAGGCGTTGGGGAAAGTGGATGCAGTCAAAGTAACCAGGAGTGGTATGGTGTTGATATCATAGTAACCAGGAGTGGTATGGTGTTGATATCATAGTAACCAGGAGTGGTATGGTGTTGATATCATAGTAACCAGGAGTGGTATGGTGTTGATATCATAGTAACCAGGAGTGGTATGGTGTTGATATCATAGTAACCAGGAGTGGTATGGTGTTGATATCATAGTAACCCGGAGTGGTATGGTGTTGATATCATAGTAACCAGGAGTGGTATGGTGTTGATATCATAGTAACCAGGAGTGGTATGGTGTTGATATCATAGTAACCAGGAGTGGTATGGTGTTGATATCATAGTAACCAGGAGTGGTATGGTGTTGATATCATAGTAACCAGGAGTGGTATGGTGTTGATATCATAGTAACCAGGAGTGGTATGGTGTTGATATCATAGTAACCAGGAGTGGTATGGTGTTGATATCATAGTAACCAGGAGTGGTATGGTGTTGATATCATAGTATCCAGGAGTGGTATGGTGTTGATTAACCAGGAGTGGTATGGTGTTGATATCATAGTAACCAGGAGTGGTATGGTGTTGATATCATAGTAACCAGGAGTGGTATGGTGTTGATATCATAGTAACCAGGAGTGGTATGGTGTTGATATCATAGTAACCAGGAGTGGTATGGTGTTGATATCATAGTAACCAGGAGTGGTATGGTGTTGATATCATAGTAACCAGGAGTGGTATGGTGTTGATATCATAGTAACCAGGAGTGGTATGGTGTTGATATCATAGTAACCAGGAGTGGTATGGTGCATTGTGTCTCGCGGAATTATCGACGCATGAAGTGGACAGCTTTGATTTTCGGAGCAGGGCACTGGTAAAAGGTGTTATCTCTGGCGTCCCGTTGGACATTGATAATCAATATCATAGGCTAAAAATTCCAGGAGTAGTTAATGCACGTCGCTTGACCCGTATGGAGAATGGGGAAAAGGAGCAAAGTGTATCTGTATTACTGATGTTTGATGAGTATTTACCACCCTATGTAAAGTTGGGAAATATAAGGTAACACTGTAAGAGCATTCGTGAAAAACCTGATGCAACGCAAGAAGTGTAAAAAGTTTGGCCATGTGTCAAGTGTTTGCAGACGGAAGGAATATTTTATTGAGGAGTCTGGGAATGTAAAATGTTGCATCTTTATGTTTTTACGTCATTTTAGCAGACGCTCTTATCCAGAGCGACTTACAGTTAGTGAGTGCATACATTACCCTACATCCCTGCCATTCCCTCCCCTACCCTGGATGACACTGGGCCAATTGTGCGCCGCCCCATGGGTCTCCCGGTCAAGGCCGGCTACGACAGAGCCTGCATTCGAACCAGGATCTCTAGTGGATCAGCAAGCACTGCGATGCAGTGCCTTAGACCACTGCACCATCTGTGGTGGGGATCATATTTCCGAATTCCCTGAGTGCCCTGTTAGGGTGAAAGAGGTTGAGGCAGTGGCGACCTGTCATTCAGGCCAGGTAGAGCCCCACCTGTTTAGCGTAATTTATTTATTTATTTTGCATGTTATTTTGGCTTTAATACGCGTCACATATCAGTTTGCAAACAATGTAAAAAAAAATTGTATCATTGAGTTAATAAAGCCGCATACAAACATGGTTTATTTTTTGCTTTCTTGAGTAAGGCAGCTCCAAAATGCAGGTGTTTCAGCCTAGCTCAGTGCTTTCTGTGGTGGCTGGGGCAGCCAGCGGAAAATACGGAGCGTAGGGGTTGGTAATGTTCTCTAGTTGCGCCGTGATTGGCTCAGTGTTCTGTCACTCACGGGGACACTATATCACTGCAAAATCTACAGGCAGAGCTCGAAAATTCAAGCCCCTTGGGTGCTGCCATAGAGTTACATTAGAAGTGCCCATCCAAGAAGGCTCAAGGTCATTGGCCACAGATAAAATGACGTCAAATCACGTTACATCTACCGCAGCTTTGATTGGACTGATCATGTCAGCATCATACTTTCTAAATCTTAGCTAGCAAGCTAGCGGTCATCATCATGAATCAAGTCGACAATCTACTGGCAAATCTTTGTCATATGAAGAGAAATTATGAAGAGAAATTATAGATCAAACGTATCGTGCTGATCGGCCATTGGACATAATCATTATGTTAAATCGTGGTTTGGGAGGAATCAGTGGTTAACTGCAGGTCTGGGTTTAACAGTCACTAGCCTGCTATTCAGTGGATTGGGATTGGGTGGTCCAGGTCTGGGTTTAACAGTCTCTAGCCTGCTATTTAGTGGATTGGGTGGTCCAGGTCTGGGTTTAACAGTCTCTAGCCTGCTATTCAGTGGATTGGGATTGGGTGGTCCAGGTCTGGGTGTAACAGTCTCTAGCCTGCTATTCAGTGGATTGGGATTGGGTGGTCCAGGTCTGGGTTTAACAGTCTCTAGCCTGCTATTCAGTGGATTGGGATTGGGAGGTCCAGGTCTGGGTTTAACAGTCTCTTTTCCAAGCTTAAAAGGATAAACATTCAACACCAGAAAAGGTTGAATACATCGGCCATGCTGTCAATCCAGCATGACTGGAAACTCTGAACTGGGAAATCTCCGACTTCAGTGAGTTCAAGACAACTGGGCACTCGAGAAAAAACTGTCATCCAACTCGGAATTCCAAGTCGGGAACTCTGGCCTCTTTCTAGAGCTCCGACCTGAAAATCACTGACATCATGAATTCCCAGTTGTCTTGAAAGCACCATGAATCCAGAGAATGCCAGACTTTGAACAAGGTGAGTCCAAAAATTTATTGTATGCTGCTGCATAAAGGATGTAATATGCCAGGGAGATATGTATACTGTAGCTAAGAAAGTAATACTAAGTGTATGTTGTGTAGTAAGCTGTTAGTAGCCCATGTGCCTCACCCTAATAATTTGGTCTATTTCCCCCTCATAATTTCGCCTACTGTTCTGACTTGGTGGTGCACATGTAGCCTATAGCCTATTTTAGAGAAATGTAATCATCAAATATTGTAAGAGCTTTCATTGTCTGCTTATATGCCCCCTTTATTTATCCTACGGTTCTGACTTGGTGTACAGGGAGAACACTGTAAGAACGGCCCATGTTCTGAATTCTGTCGCTGTACATTTCAAAAGTGCTAAACAAATAGTTATATTGACTACGTCAGTCCCAGCTCGCTCATTAATGTCTTAATCGAAATTAGGGATTGCCTCTTATCCACTCGTCGTCCCCTTATGCCATAGTTTGTACATCTCAATTGTCAGTAGAAACCACATTTGTTTAAGCAAGTCAGCCATATCAGCTATGTTTTTTTTAAAGGCAGTAAATGAGGCAGAATGAACTGTTTCACTGCCAGACGAGGCCCCGCTGATAGCCAGGTGTTGCAATGGTAAGGATTCACTACATCAGGGTTCTTCAATTCCAGTCCTGGAGGGCCGAAACACCTCTGTTTTTCATCCTCTCCTTCTAATCAGGGGCTAATTCAGACCTGGGACACCAGGTGAGTGCAATTAACTACCAGGTAGAAATAAAAAACAGAAGTGTTTCGGCCCTCCAGGACCGGAATTGAAGAACCCTGCACTACATGGTGCTGAAACAAAAGCTCTGCTGTTGTTGCTGTAAATGAGGCTGAATGAACTGTTTCACTGCCAGACGAGGCTCCGCTGATAGCCAGGTGTAGCAGTGGTAAGGTGTTGGGACAGCTTTATGTAGGGTTTGCCCCACCAAGATTTACATGCTAAAGTCGCCACTGGGTTGAGGTGTCAAGGATCAGGGCTGTACAGCTAATCTCCTAGGTGTTTGGTATTTTATTAGGATCCCCTTTAGCTGTTGCAAAAGCAGCAGCTACTCTTCCTGGGGTCCACACAAAACATGAAACATGACATAATACAGAACATTAATAGACAAGAACAGCTCAAGGACCGAACTACATGAACATTTTTTAAAGGCACATGTAAGCTTACATTTCAGTACATACACACAAACTATCTAGGTCAAATAGGGGAGAGGCGTTGTGCCATGAGGTGTTGCTTTATCTGTTTTCTGAAACCAGGTTTGCTGTTTATTTGAGCAATATGAGATGGAACGGAGTTCCATGCAATAATGGCTCTATATAATACTGTACTCTTCTTGAATTTGTTCTGGATTTGGGGACTGTGAAAAGACCCCTGGTGGCATGTCTGGTGGGGTAAGTGTGTGTGTCAGAGCTGTGTGTAAGTTGACTATGCAAACAATTTGGGATTTTCAACAC